GTCTTGAAGTGAATCTAGAGAACCTTCTGTAAACTTTTCATGTTCCAGGTCTACGCGGTGGCCGGCTCAAACGGAAATCACGATCTGAAAACGAGTGAAGTGTTCGATTCGAAAACTGGGAAATGGAGTCCAATCAAGAGTCTCAACAAAGCGAGATCGCACAATGGATGTGCAGTGCTTGACGATGTGCTGTACTGTGTCGGTGGAAGCAATGATCAAGTGGTGATGAGGGTAAGTGAAGAATTGGGATTTTATTCAAAATGAAACTTAATTCAATACTGACAATGAGTACCTCTGACAGATTGACTCAAGAAATCAAGTAGTTTTCGGATTCCCATAGTTGATCGCTTTCAAAAGAGACTCAAGGAGCTACACCAGTCTGTATGGGATGAAGGTACGGATAATCTAGTCGAGTTTTGGTTGGTCTGGCCAAACTATAAGCTGACTTGGTCCAGTTTGGCCTAGTCCGGCCTGGCCTAGTTCAGGCTGGCCTAGTTCAGCCTGGCTTGACTCCGGTTTTGTCTAGTCCGACCTGAACTGGTCCAGCTTGGCTTGGTCTAACTTGGAGTTGGACACACCGGTCCTTTTATGGGTTAGAGCTGGGAATACAAAACATGGACTCGAACCCGCAACCTCTCGCTTACCGGGCGAACGCTCTACCAATTAGCTACACCGACACGTATCCCATAGTCGATTGTAGGATCGATAGTCGATCGAGACCTTATGCCTTACTTTGGTCGGTCCTAGTCCGTCCTAGTCCGTAGACAAGTCCACCTCAGGGTCTAGCTATCCCAGAGTCCAGAGTCGTTTAAAGTTTCTGGGAACAGCACGACCAGGTTATAAAGTGTACAAAAAACTGACAAAAAGCTGCCGGCGAAAATATCAAAATATCGAAAGTGCTTTTCTTAATTAAACAAACGATTCCAGGACTGCGAAAAGTACGACGTGGACAGAGACGAATGGACGGCAATTCCACCAATGGTCACCGGTCGATATCAAGCAGGCGTTGTTGCGTGGAAAGGGTTATTAGTGGCTGTCGGTGGCTGTGATCGATGGGCATGCATTGACACGGTGGAAGCTTTCGATCCAAAAGTCGGACAATGGAGGGAATTGCCCAAATTGAGGACACCGAGAAGAGGATGTGCGGTGGCGGTGGTCAGAGGTGGGATTTTGATTTTCCTGATGTAAAGCTGAAGTATTGATTTCAGAAGTCAATAACTAAATAGTTTTTGTGCTTATAAAAAGGGACTTTTAGATATCCTGTACATCATTGGTGGTCACGATGGGACGAACTCGTTGTCAACAGTCGAGGTACGGTGTTGGAGCTGGAAAATTGATAGCTTATGGATTTTGAGAGTAATGAAACTAACTCTGATTTATTTTAGCATATCAATTTCATTGCTTGCCCTAAACCAATCACTTTTCCAGGTCCTCGATCATCCAAACGGTCAATGGCGTGCCGGTCCGGTGTTGACGACGCCTCGAGCGAACACCCACGCCGTGGTTACCGCCGGCAATGTAATCTATGTGATTGGTGGATTTAACGGAGTGCAATTCCTCAACACTATTGAGCTCCTGGAAAGTGGTGAGTTGTAGAAAATAGAAGTAACGAAAGCATCTGTCGGTCCTTTTTGCCGTTGGCAATTTAAAGTTTTTCGTGTTTTTTCTCAGCACCAACCCTTCGATTTTTACTATTTTGATTATCATTCGATGCAGAATAAAATTACGCGTCAAATGATACCAAAATTAACTCAAAATGTAATATCCATGCAAAGTTATGAGGCAAAATCGGTTTTTAGCCAACAACTTTGCGTGGAAATCATATTTTGAGTTGATTTTGATATCATTCAACGCGTAATTTTATTCTTAATCGAATGATAATCAAAATAATCAAAACCAATAGGTTGGTGCTGAGGAAAACACGAAAAACTTTAAATTGCCAACGGCAAAAAGGACCGATAGATGTTTTTGTTACAACTTTAGTAGAAAACATACAAAATTGGAAAAGAAACCAGCTAGCTTCTTTAAAAATAGATTTTGTTTTGAAAATGTTTAATTGGATTGGGTAACTGAAGCGAATTTCGGTTCAGTTACCCAACTTTATTATTTACGCTCAATTCGCAAACTCACCTTTTCTGGCGCATTAAATTTAGGTAAACAATAAAAGCTAAAGTTGAGTAACTAAATCGAATTGGCTTTGCCGTAAATACTCTAATAGAAAGCCAGCTTCTTGTACAATCGCGTAGTCTAACTCCTTTTTGGAAGTTAGACTTTTAGAACCTTTAGAACTTCTTCCTCTTCTTTTTCTCAGCCTCTAGATTTTCAGAGCTACACTTTTGGTACCAAAAATACTAGATTTCAAGAGCTATCATTTGAAACCAAAACGGCAACTGTAGCTTAAAGCAGCGCGGAGAACGGGACGTTTAAAGTTAGCCTACGCGACTGTACGCTTGTAAGGCGAGATTGTACGCTTGTAGGGCGCGACTGTACGCTTGTCCACTGTACATTATAGAGTTCTATTAGAATATTTACGGCAAATAGTAAGTGTTTTTGACAAATCCAGCCAGCAAGAGCGTGTTTAGATTCGTGAGCACAAAGAACAACCCCAGATTTACGTTCATTAAATGCAAATTTTCAGAGAGTGTCGGCTGGTGCAACTATCAGCAACAATCGATGGATTTCACTTTAGCTGAAGAGGAAGAAGAGGGTGATGGACTTGAAAGAGATCGTTCACAGCAAAGATCCACGGAGCATTCACTCACTCCACCAACCACTCAACAATCACATCAAATGACTCCTGTTAAGGCTAAATAATCTTTATTATATCTTTTCTTATTTCTTTTTTCGAGATTCCCCCCATTTTAACGAATTTCCCTTATTTATTTCACATCTTCACCAACCGTAATCCAATTTTTTTTTCTGTTTTACATTGCTCATCGTTGTGCACATTCGTATGGGTTCAAAAAAGGGAATTTTCTAAGATTCATAGCTATTTTTCTTGAAAATCTTGTTATTATCATCGTTTTTTGAAAGATTACGGTTCATCAACAAGCAAAAAACAATGTGTTTTACCTTGAAAATTCATCATATCTTTAGATTCTTAAAAATCGATTGTTTTCTCTTTTTTTGTACAAATTGAAAGAGAAAAGAAATAAACCTCTTTTCAGCAAATCGTTTTGACAGAAAATCACACAAATGAAGATTAATGAACACCTTAACAACATACGGTATTTCCTCTAATAGTAGTGCACCCTGAGCGTGGCCTAAATTGCTCGAAATCTCGAGAACCGCTTATCAGAACCTATCGATGTGGGGTCGGAAAATGTAGCTGACGATGAGATCTAGTGGGGGATTTGAGTGTTGAGCTTCTTGGAAAAGCTTGGGAATGATAGAATAGCCATCAAACTCGGTTCGGCGGGGTGGTCAGATCGGCATCCATATAGACTCATCCACCTTGTTCATATCGTCCTCCTCTTCGATGTTGTCGTTTCCTAGCGCAAACTCTGCCTTTTTAAAACAGTTTTCGAAACACAGTCTTCCATTACAATTGCTTCTTCGCTTTCACTCCCAGAAAGTAGAACATCGGCATTTCTCGATTCTAAGGCTATTTCTTCAAATGAACGCACACCTCTAGTCACAACGAAGTCGTCGGCAAGCATGAAATTCATTGCATTAATGTTCTTTTCCACATTATCTCGGTTACAAATTTGCATCCATATAGGCATCCTTGTTCATAACGTCCTCCTCTTCGATGTTTGTCCTTTCAAGCTTTCTATTTAAAGTCCGTTTTTGCCGCAAAAATCGTTAGATTAGTAAAAATATTCAATATTTTGGAAATTTTATCGTTATTTCGAGAAAATCTTTATAAAGGAATCGGTAAATCGAGGTTTTTTATAAAGTTAAAATTTACGTTACGGCTGCCGGGACCGAGCACAGCTATCGTTATCTAGAGGTTATCGTTATGCCGAGGGTCGTTATAAAGAGGCTCGACTGTACCTAAAACTAAACATTTACCGTATTCTCTCTAATAATAGTGCACCCTGAGCGTCGTTTAAATTACTCGAAATCTCAAAAATGGTATCCAAATGGTATCCAATGACTTTCCATTAAAGTTCAGAAGTTCAAATCTCAAAACGAGCTAAAGGTCTTTAGGTAAATAACTACAAAATGATACTGTTACAAGTGGGTTTGGCCATTGAATTTATCCCCTGAAAACTCTTAGTACTTGATCTTTTATTTGTGTGTTGGCTGAGAGCTGATCGGTGAGAGCTGAGAGCAGGTGCCGAGAATTTCCGAATTGATGCATGCAAATCGATTCTGATGTCATAAATGCTCTATCGTTATTTCTAGCATTCAAGGATTAGCTTAAAAATCAATAAACCATTGCATTGCACAACATCCCTGCCACAGCGCTGTCCACATAAAGAAACAGGCAATTCAATCTAACAGGACTTCAAATTCTTAACACGAAGCATAAATCTTGAAAGTCAATGATCATTGTTTTGTGGAGTGACGATGCTGAAAGGAAATAACCGTTTTTAATGGCTGCAGTTTTTATGCAAGCCAACCCGTAGTTTAATTTCAACGGGCACGGTGCGTTGTGTTACATTGCTCTGCGCTTGGGATAACTCCGAACCTGCGACTAACCGAGCCCAACGTTGCTTAATCTGGAGACCCAACTTGGAAGCCTAGGTGTGTTATTATTTTTGATATAATACTTCTACGTATCGAACAAGCACACTTTCAGTTTCTATCTTCAACCATTTTCCTTTCATTGTTAACTATTTTTGATGGCTCTGTCTTTATAATGATCAATCGACGAGTTCGTCAAACCACAAAGGATTGACAACAGTTAAGCTATCGAAAAACTGATCAGATCAAGAAAAGAATAAAAATTGGTGCTACAACTAGGCTTTGGCTTTGACTTCAGCTAACAGCTTCATCGATTTGGACATGAAAAGATTTGATCTATGTATTTTGCTCTCTATTTTGTCTTTCAGATGGCTACTAAAATAGCTGGCGTTGTTATGACGGTGACTGTAGGAATTGGATCAGACTATGTCACCTTGTCGATGACCTGTTTCTTTATGTGGACAGCGCTGTGGCAGGGATGTTGTGCAATGCAATGGTTTATTGATTTTGAAGCTAATCCTTGAATGATAAGCTTTTAGCTTCACTTATGTGATTCTTCTGCGCGAACCCCGAGCAAAGTCGCGTACAACATTGCGTGTCTCGATAGTCACCACCACTCAACATGATTATTAGAATTTTATGTTGCTCTGAGAAAAAAAAACAATAAAAACAACGACAAATCATTGATGACAAGAAAAGAGAGAATAAAATATTATCCAGTTATTCAGATTAAATCAAAAGCATTTATCTCTCAAAGTATTGATCCTCGAAATCAATAAAATTCTTGTAAACTTGCAAAGAGTTTATTTAAATGTCGCAGCCGATTTTAACTAAAATCATGAAATCTTAATTACTGTTTTTTGAAATATAAATCGACTAGGCGATTTTGGGGTAGGCTACTTTGCGTCAATTTTTTTGCGCAACTCGCCATAACCAGTGCCTACCCCGCGATTTTAAATTAAATCTATCAATATTAACTTTTTCTTTTTAAATGCGAGTTCACTTTCATTGTTTTTCCCACACGTTTCCTACTCTCCTTCACATTTTAGCATTTACCCTAATAAAGAAAAAGTTTTTTTTACTTTTAACTAACTTGATTAACTTAAAAAGATTTAGCTTTTAGCAGTAAACGAATGAAGGCGCTAGAATTTAAGAATAGTATTTATAGATCGATAATTATTTAGGTAGAATTTGGTATCCGTTATTGTGTTTAGAATATTTGTTAATTTAAAATAGTTATTATGTTGGTTAGGCTTTAAATTTGATAACGGGCTTCAAAATGAATTTTTCCACGCCGAATGGTCCTTAAGTCTTTTACCCACCATGTAATTTACTGCAGTTCCATCTTTAACTGTGAAATTATATTTTTAAATGTTTATCTTGGCAGAAAGGTACGTTTTCTTATCGGACCCCCTAGCGTGAATTATGCTGATACTTCTCGTCTTTTTGATCATTTATCACTTTTCTTGCATGATTCGGAAGTCAACATGTTACTAGGCGATTTAAATTTTCATGTGACCTATTCTAATGACAAATTTGTGTTTGATAAGTACCACCATCCCACCATTTTGCTACAAAATTTCCTTATTACATGCTCTCTATTTATTTTAAACACATCTGCTACCTTCTGCTGTTCATTTTCTATTTTAGATCTGGTCTTGTCCGATTCCCCTGATATCATCATGGAGTTACAGCGATTGGGGCCTCTTCCTGGATCTGACCATTATGGGATCACGTTCAAAATTGGAGGACTGCAATTTCCTACTCCTCCGCGGAAAGGTTGCGTGCAATTTGATTTAAACCCCGCCAAGCGGCTCTTTTCCTCTTAAACTCCCTTAGAGGGAGCTCTTTCTGCTGACAAATTCTATAGATGGTGACTATAATCTTCTCTGTTCTAAAATCCTCCTTGCCATAGAAAATTCCTGCACTCACCCTGTAAAATTAACTCCAAATCATATTACGAGAGCTAAAGCAAGACTTCTACATTTTTTGGAATGATCTAATTACGCAAATCCTCTGGTTGACCCACTAGTAATCAAAGAACAGCGCAAGTTTTTGAAATTTTGTCAAAAGTTTGAGTCAAACATTGAGAGCAAAGCTGTTTATTCGAAAAACAGCAAGTCTTTCTTCTCCTATTTAAGCTCTAAAACAAAAGATCCAAAGATAGTCTCCAATTCGTTCGCTGACCCTTAGATGGTAGACAGAAAGTCTTTCTTCTCCTGAAAACCTTTTCAGTAACTATCGTTTCATCTCTTTAACCTCCCCTGTATCCAAACATTTTGAAATTATCATCAAAGATAAAATTACAGCTCATCTTGATAAGCATAAACTTATCTGCGACTATCAATTTGGTTTCCTTAAAAATAAGTCCATTACTTACCAGCTTATTTTAGCTTACCAAGATTTCTTTAAGGCCGTGGATCAAAAACAACGCAAGCACTATCAGCTTGAAGCTGTGTTTTTAGATTTTGCTAAAGCTTTCGACTCTGTCCCTATTAAATTCTTAATTCACAAACTACATGCATATAAAATCTGCCCCTTGATGATTTCAGTTATTGAAAGTTTCCTTACTCAGCGAACTTCCAAAGTTCTTCTAAACGATTCTCTCTCCCCGTCCTTTAATTGCTCTAGCGGTGTACCCCAAGGAAGTATTCTGGGTCCTATACTTTTTACAATTTACATTAATGATTTAGCTGAATTAAATTTTTCATCTAGGGACTTATCTATCTGGCTTTATGCTGATGACGCTAAACTAACCTTTAAAATCCCCATCAAGGATGAAGCCGCTAAGCTTGCTTCTTTAAGAGACGCCATGTCAGATCTTGATCTGGTTGAAACATGGTCCCATAATTGGAAATTAGCTTTAGCGTCTACGAAATCCCGTCATTTCTCCACCGGAAATGCTATTTTCCCGCTGAAAATTAATTCTACACCATTAAACAGAATTGGCAAAGAGGATTTTATCAGAGATCTTGGAGTCCATATTTCTCCACCTTTAAATTTCTCAAAATATATTGAAATTACTTGCCGTACAGCTTCTTTCGTCTCTAGTCGTATCCTAAAAGCAATTTGTGATCCGAAAATTGACACTTACAGAAAGTATTTCATCACTTACGTTAGACCCATTCTATAGTTTGGTCTCCACATGCACAAGTTGGTATCTCTCGCCTAGAAAAAATCCAGCAGAGATATAAGAAGATAACTCGGGATCTTTTCAGGCGATAGATTTTTCCAAATTTGCCTACATTAGTTACACAGATAGACTTAAAATTTTTGATCTTAAATCTCTTAGACACCGCCGCTTGGTCACGGATTTAATAGAATGTTTCAAAACTGTGAAGGGCAGGCAACCTATCCCTCTTTTTCGAGATTTATTCAAAGTTAATCCCACGGTTAGTTCAAGGAGAGGTTCTTTCGTTTTAGAAATTCCAGTCACCTCCAATAAGTTTTTGTATAACTCTTTTCCAATAAAAACTGCCAGAATTTGGAATCGACTCCCCAGAGTTTTGGGAGAGTCCAATAGTCTCGAAACCTTTAAATTATCTGTAGAATCGGCCCTTTTCGTGTTATGTGTATGAGTTCATGTGTTTTAACCTTAAATCGAGCGCACTTTATCTCAGGTCCTGGATAAAATATCTATATATTCCTATGTATGCCGTAAAAGCTCTAATAGAAGATCCCCTATAGGAGCGTCGCGTAGTCCAAGTTTACGCTCAAAGCACCGCTCATATCTCGGCATCCAGACATTTTTTTTTCTGCGCGCTTAGGTAACAAATTAAAGTAGAAAGATAAGCGGATCTTTTGAGCTATTAAATATATTTTTAGCTTCAACCAGCGCTCAGAAAAAATGATGAAAAATCGGCTTTTTTGCCCCTTTGCAGTCATTTTTTTCTAAAAGCTGGTTAATGTTAAAAATATGTGTGATATCTCAACAAATCACTCATCTTTCCTATTTTAATTTGATACGTAAGCGTGCAGAAAAAATGTCTGCGTGCCGAGATATGAGCGGTGCTTTGAGCGTTACAGGTACAAAAACATTCGATTTTGCTTTCAGAGGCTTAGTCTTTTCTTTTCTTGAGAAGCGTTCGAAGGAATGGTACGTATATGAAAGAAAACTTAGACTACGTGACGCTCCTCTATTAGAGCTTTTACGGTACTTTGCCCATGTTCGTTTTTCTGGTATATTATTCTCAATTATTCCTAATTTTTCCCAATTTCAGGCATGAATCCCAACGAGCCAGCTCTATTAGAAGACATCTATTCCCGGATCCAAATCGGCGAATTCCTCGAGAAAACGAGTCCGCAAGAATTGCTCACTTTAGAGAAAATCGATCTCACTTGCAACCCGATTGACCCAAATATGGGCGGAAAGATTCTTTTCGTCGGAAAAACTCTGCCAAACAGTTGGGATCCCGAGTGGGAACCCTGTCGAAACGACCTAGTTCTCAAGAAGTTCGTGCAAAACATGAAAATCGAGCGCGCAAGGGTTCAGGAGCACTATGCGAGAAATATCGAGAATTACAGAGATATCTCAACACTTGAAGGCCAAAAAGCGATTGGCTGAGGAAACGGGAGCACTCGGGAGCAGCTTCATTCTGCACTACTACAATCCAAGAAAGGAATTCATTGGTCAACAACTGGCTAAGGGATGGCTAGCGTTGGCTAAAGCGCTAAATGACGGGAATTTCGGAGTGGATACGGTAATCTCGCTGTCATTTGCGCGTTTCGTTGATCAAGACGAGACATCAAGGCTGAAAATACAAGCGAATTGCCCGGCAAGCGTAGAAATCATGAGGGAAGTCGAGAAAGTCTTGCAAAAACAGGGTCTAAAATTCTCGATCAAGATCAAGACCGATGTGGCCAGCTATGTGTCGTCGTGGGCGAAAGAGAATGGATATGGTTGGATTCGATTTGAGAGTCCGTTGAAGGGAAAAGTCGCGAGAATCGATGAGTTGGCGGATAGGTTGAAAGAAATGAATGTGACACGGGACTAGATTACTTTTTTGTTCATCAAATTCTCAAGTACTACATTAAGGCAATTATTTTTCCATTAAACCAATATTTTTTCATTTCATTCCCGTATTCTCTCTAATAGTAGCGCACCGCGCCGAGCCGAGTTTGATGACTATTTTACGATCTCCAAGCTTTTAGAGAAGCTCAACACTCTAATCCCCGAGAAGATCTCATCGTGAGCTACATTTTCCGACCCCAAATCGATAGGTTCTGATAAGCCCTTGTCGAGATTTCGAGCAATTTAGGCCACGCTCACGGTGCACTACTACTAGAGAGAGCACAGTATTTTCCAATTCCTTAATTTCATTTAATTGCTCACTGGTTTTGTTGCTTTAATTGCTCATTGGCTCACTATAATTTTTGGCAGGTTTCATTTTCGAGATCTAGCAAAAATTGAGCTCAAATTTGATTTGCATCTCTTTTTTTACACTTTACTGAATCTTTGCAATTTAACGACTTTTCATTTGACCTAAATCTCCTCCTTTTCCTTTCAGTTACACTTTTAATCTAAAATTTGCCATTTCTTAGCTGAAAATTCTGCATTTCATTATGATACTCATTCAAAATCTTGTTAAACCTTCGGTTAATAAATTTTTGCGGAAAATTTTTATACAAAT